CCACAGACATCGTAACTTCACAAAAAGTCCATAGATAAAAGAGGAAAAGAGATACAAGGCCACACACGAAGCCTGCACAGTGGTGACAAACACAGGGCGTGTTTCTGCAATATCCGGAACTTGGGAAGGTAAGGAAGCCAGAGCTTAAAAAGAAGCTTGTGGCTGAAGGGAAAGACAGACAGAAGAGCAAGAGGGGAGAGGAGAGCAAGAAACACAACAGATAGGCAGCTGAGAATCAAGATTTTTCAGTTTAGTCAGTAAATACGTATTTCCACCACCCACATCTGGAATAATATGAATTTTGGATTCAGAACTGCATTCTTTACTTGCCTAAGACTCCCAGTAAAGTGTCTTTCGCTCAAGGAATGCAGGATCATTCCGTCTCAGCTGTATGACTTCTGCATGTAGTTGGCAATATTCACTGCATTCAAAATCAAACTGGTTTTTAATTGCAGGCAGTGTCTTCTTTTTAAATAAAACACTTTCCTTCCACTTTTCCCCTGTACATACTTTTCTAAAATCTCTATTTCAGTCAGAAAATAAGAACAGCTCAGGAAGCTGGAGATTCCAGATCAAATCTAACTTGACTTCTGGAGCTAAAAAAGTCCAGTGGGTTTAGTAAAGTTCCTAAAAGAGAAATGTTTTTTTTTATTTCAGTGTATAGTCTCTCACGTTGCAGATCTATGAAGGCTTCCTGTCAAACTGAATGGTGTCTTCACTTTGCAGACTGCCATTCGTAATGGTCTCCAGAACATGCAACTTTTTGCTCAAATCCAAATTATACGTATCAAGAATAAGAGAAACAAGATTGTAGTAATCAAAATAAATTAAAGTTATTTTCTATTTTATAGTTTTGTTTGTGTGTGTATAAATATTTGGTAAAAAGAAAGCTATCTACTCACATCACAAAATATGAAGTAGTAGAAGTATTCCATAATATTATTTGTATTCTAGTTACCCTATATTTTGGAAACTTAAGTTATGTATACCACATCATTTGATGGAATTTGTGCTTCTGAGACAAAGGTAAAGAAATTAATAGCTTCTTGTACTTGATGGTGGAGCAACATAGGGAAGACTGGTTTTGATGACTATAGAAGGATGACGTAACTCTGCTGCAGAATAAGGATTTACCTAGATGACTTCTGGTGGATTTTCTGTGCTGAGAAGTGAAAGAAAAATTAGATTAGGAAAGCATATTCTACCCCTGCTCCTTCAAGTATTTAAGAGGAAATATTAAAACTAGCCAATCAGATACAATTTGCAGGGCAAATGGATAAAGGAACTAGATCTAATAATTACTTTTTTTCAGGGAGCAAGGGTTGTAGGAGTTCAAGCTAGAGATTACGCCCTAATAATAACACCCAGTGCAGAGTCCCAGTTAGTAAAAAATGTCATGGAATGTAAGTTAGTGCAGATGTGCATCCAGCTGCTTCTGCCAAAACTCATCTGCCCTAGATGCAAGATTTTACATTTGTCTTTGTTGAATTTCATGTAGCAACCATCTGTTGTTCCACCTCTCCAGCCTGTTTGAGGTCCCCCTAAATGCTAGTCTGTGTGCAGGAACATGGAATGGGTCCCCAAGCATGCTGCTTGCTCAGGCAGAGAGAGATAGTCTCTGCCATCGTGCTGTCCTGCATCCACTTTCCCATTATCTACCACTACCTCTCTGTCAGAACATCTCTTCTAGCTCTTCCAGTTTTATTCCAGCTTAGGTCTGGTGGGAGTGCTTCTCCATCCTTCAATAACCTAGTTTAAAGCCCTCCTTATGAGGCTGGCAAGCCTGTTGGCAAAGACATTCATGCCCCACTTTGTTAGGTGAATCCTCTACCCAACAGTCATCATTCCTCAAAAAGCCTGGAGGAACCTGGAAGTGTCTGAAACAATACCTTGACATGAATAGCATTTGAGTGTCTATGGTGATCTTTAGCCAGTGTCCCTCATGACAGGTCGCTATCCAGAGGGTAGCAAGTGAAGAATTGCTGCTCTGGGTAATCAGTTAATTTTTCAGCTGATTCCCACTGTACTGCTCCCTCCTCCTGCAATGTAAATGAACTACCTGTGATCAACAGATCATGAAAATATCCATTTACATTATTCCTTTTCACATTAATCTTCATATTCATTCTAGATGTCAATCAAAGATAGTTTCTATTCATTAAATACAACTGATAGCACCTTCATGCACTTCTTCCTTTTATACCAGTTATTGTAGAAACTCTAGCCGATTTGCTTTCTGATCTTTGCATTAAATTACTTCATCTCAGGCACTCCTCTACCTCTCACTTTGCATTATCTGTAGTTCTGCAACTCACACTTCTCTTTGTTTCTCTAGCAAATTTTTTATTACTATCAGATCATGGTCTGTTCTTCACTTGTCAGAAAACAAGTTGCTGTATCAGCAGTCAGTCATGAAGCCTTGTTTTGTATCTGTTATGTTCTCCCTTCTTATCACAATAACCCAAGCTTCCCCTATAGTCCCCATGCCCTCTCATTACAATACCTTCAACTCCCTCGCACCTCCTACACAATATCCCAATGTCCCCTTCTGATATTTAGGCCTCCCTGTAACACATCCCATTCCTGCCCCTTTATTTCCTAACCTCCCACAGTGAGTCACACCCCAAATCTCATAGCTCCCCCATATCTCTTGCTTGACTAAGATAAGACATAATATGTATTGATCACATGTACCGTGACCTATTGTGTAATAAGCTGACCAGTACTCATGGCCAGACACTGTTTCGTGGAAAAACATATGCACAGCATTGTTTCTTCTTTGCCTCATTTGGGAGTTAAATGAGTCTCTCTTTTCTCCCAAACCACTCATTTTCAGGAAAGGTGTAGGAATATCATACCTCTGACTCCTCTTACTCTCTACTGAATTTGACTGAAGTTAGTGGGTGGATTAAGAGATGGTAAGGTGGGTGAGAGGCTAACAGGCACGGGCAGTGCGGTTGTATAAGCAAATACATTTGTAGAGCTGACTCTGCTTCCTCTTTCTGTTAGAGTCACTCAGCTGTCATTATGTAGTTGTTTTTTTTTTTTCTCAAAGGGACAACTGTATGGCTGAGAGGTTAATCAGAAACTCTCTTTAATAAAGGCAAGGCCACAGCAAATTGATAAAGTGCTGGCTTTAGCCCAAACGTAAGCAATAGTGAAAACCAGTTTCTGCCAGGCACCAGGCCAGTGACCTCTATGAAACTTGTGCAGTATTATTTCGTCAGGCAGAAAAATCACAACTTGTTACTTCAGCTTTCTAGTCCTCAATTGAACATTTGCCTCTAACACCACTTTTATGACTTGTAGGAACAATTCATGGTAACTGTTACCAGCTCCAGCTAAGGTGTTTTCAGTTTCTCACTTCCCCTCGTGCTGGAGATAGTATATTCAGGCATGTCATGAACGCAAAGAATACATCTAAGTATTAGTGCCAGGCTAGTGGGTATTGGTTAGATACAATTTTAGGTCCACTAAAAATGCATTATGTTTTCAATTGTTAAGAGGACTATTAAATGCTAACTTATCTAAACATTGCATTGGACTCCCCTGTCAACTGTACAAACAGAAATTTTTTTCCTAGAGTTTTCTTGCTGAAGATTGCTGCAAAACACCTAATGAATTGACTTGGAGAAGTTTCAGACCCCAAACTGCATTTTAAATTCGTATTTTAAGAGAGACACTTGATACCAAAAGATTTTCTCCCAGTATTTGATCTATAATCAATGGAATCAAATTTTCATGGAAGTATCTTACTTGCCAATGCTAACAGGCTAGGAAGAGGTGGCCACTGATGTATTTAGTCTCCAAACAACAGCTGATAGTCAGATGAAATGCGTATAGTAAGAAAAACTGCCAGCAGCCTCATCCTAAAGCTTCTCTTGGATTCCACAGAACTTGGACTTCTGTGTCACATCCAGCCTTTGGTCTCCACAGGACTGTGCAGACCACATGAAAATACTGCGTGAAAGACAGTGAAGGCAAACACAGCACAAAATGGCTCAAAATACTGGTAAATATTTCCAAACAGATTTTATCTCCCACAAAGGGAGAGCACAGAGGAGCCAAATACAGAAATTGGCCTCATTTTTCACTCGTCTCTCAGCTTCTAACATCCGGCAGCCACACAGCTTCCTCCCTGTCATGACCATCCTGTTTTATTTATTTGCTTTTGCCATCTCTCTTTAAAAATGAAAGTAGGAATCTTTATATAAACAGCCAGCTCCCTCAGATCTGGTCTATATGCACAGACCGATCTGCAAAAGCACCAGGCGACATTTGGCTTGGCTTCTCCCACAGAACGCAGCGACAGGATACGGCTTCCAAGAGGCACCAAGTCTGGGTTTTTTTAAGCGGGAAAAGAGCTTCTCCCATTCCTCCCTTCAGAGAGGCAGCCTCTCCCGCTCATTCCCGAGGCCGATTCCCAACTGCTCGGCCGCAGCGGAGGCATTGGTGCCGTCGGTCAGAGGGGTCCGGGAGGGCTGCACAAAGGAAGGAGTTTAGAGCAAATTTAGAGCAAGACGATCTGTTCTCCCCCAGACCGCAGCTAAAGATGTTAATTATTGCTCCGCAGCCCTAAGCTACAACCGGTTATTTTGGGGAGACACCGGCCCAAACCACTCCCGTTAGTTGCAGCCCTTCTGTGGGACGAGCGCTCGGGCAGCGGCATTTCGTGAAAACACTGAGTGAAAGCAACGCACGCAAATGCGGATTTCACGTTTCGGGACACGCTGTCTAGGTGCTTTCACTCCGAACTGGACGCCTCAGCCGAACATTGCCATGACACGGCGTTAGGCGGCGAGGAGGACGGGCACGACTCGCCTCCCGCCATGCCCGGCGCGGAGCACGCTGGGAGCTGTAGTCCGGCGGGCGCACGGCCTCCCTCCGCCCCGCGCTCCCGCCGGTTGCCGCCGGCCTTTGCCCGAAGGCCGCGGCGGCTCCGCCGGATTCCCTCCGACCCGCTGTCTGCCGGCGGGCAGCCTTCCTCGCCCTAACCGGGCATGCAGCGGCTGCTGCGGCGGCTTCTCCCCGCGCTTTACTCGGCGCGGCCGGCGGCGGCCCGCGATCTCCTCCTCGCCCGGCGGGCTGTGCCCGCGCTCTCGCGCCTCATGGCGCTGCGGCCGGCGGCGGGAGCGGAGGGGGGCGATGGCGGCGGGGACCCGTCCCGCGCGGCCGGCGCGACAGCGGGGCACGGGGGGGGGGGGGGGGGGGGGAGACGGGGGG